CTTCCTAATCCACCACAGGTAAGAAGAGCCGTCTCTGCATCTGATTGCCGTGTACTAATCTTTTCCCAGAGGTACTGAGGGCTCATATCAAACCTGGGCAGACGCTGTGGGTGACGACAGCTACACGTTCGCCAACTTTGAACCCTACTTCAAGAAGGCTGTCACTTTCACCAAGCCGAACGACGCCATACGTGGCGACAATGTGACTACGCAATACGACGAGAGTGCCTTCCAAACACCGGGAGGACCTATCCAGATCGGTTACTCCAACTATGTCTCTCCATTCTCGACCTGGATGGAGAAGGCTCTCCACGCAGTCGGCCTGAAGAGGACCAGCGAATTCGACAGTGGCAAACTGATGGGTACACACTACACCCAAACTTTCATCGACGCGAAGGAGCAGACCCGCAGTGCATCGGACGAATACATCAAAACAGCGCTCGACAACGATAAGCTCGCTGTGTACGCAAACACCCAGGCCCAGAAGATCCTCTTTGATGGCAACAAGACCGCGACCGGCGTAAGGGTTCAGTCCACGGCCATTACCTACGACATCCATGCTTCCAAGGAGGTCATCGTTTCCGCAGGTGCCTTCCACAGCCCCCAGTTGCTCATGGTATCGGGTGTAGGTCCAAAGGAGACTTTGGAGAAGTTCAACATCGACGTGGTTGCCGATCGCCCTGGCGTAGGCCAGAACATGTGGGATCACATTATGTTCGGACCAGCTTACGAAGTCAGCTTCAACACGCTGGACAACACCCTCCACAACCCCGTCGCACTTGCCGATGCTCTGGCCGACTACACCCTCAAAGGCGAGGGCGTACTTTCTTCCAACGTAGTGGAGTTCCTCGGCTGGGAAAAGCTGCCCCAAGAGTTCCGCCAAAACTTCTCTCAGTCCACCGTCGATGCCTTGAACCAATTCACCGATGACTGGCCAGAAGCTGAGGTAAGTCCCTAGTTTTTGATGATGACAATGCAGGATAGACGCTAATCACAAACTTTGAACAGCTTATCAGCGGAAACGGCTACATCGGCGACTTCTCCCTCCCTGTCCTCCAACAACCCCTAGATGGCAAGCAGTACGCCACGATCCTCGGAGGCATCGTAGCACCCACATCCCGCGGCAACGTTACCCTGCAATCGGCATCCATGAGCAGCTCACCTCTGATTAATCCCAACTGGCTCACCTCGCCTGCGGACCAAGAACTCGCCGTCGCGCTCTACCGTCGCATGCGCCAGATCTGGAACTCGGAAACCATGCAGCAAGTTGTGATTGGTGACGAATACTGGCCAGGCAAGGAGAAGGACAGCGACGAGGAGATCTTGGCTGTAGTGAGAGACAGTTTGATGACTATCTGGCATGCGTCTTGCACATGTAAGATGGGAAAGAAGGATGATAACATGGCGGTGGTGGACACCGAAGCTAAGGTTTATGGCGTCAAGGGCTTGAGGGTTGTAGATGCGAGCGCATTGCCTATCCTGCCGCCGGGTCACCCCACCAGTACGATTTGTAAGTCTCCCATGCGAGCTCAAGTGTTGTGCGGACGTCTGCTAACATTCGCGTAGATGCGCTCGCGGAGAAGATTGCCGCTGGCATTGTGGAGGCCAATCGGCGATAAGAGCCACGCGACCGTGAAAGATTTGTCGTGAAATGAAGCGGGAGAAAAATAGATCGAAGACCATTTCTTACTACGCGTTGGAAAATGACCTGAGGTTGGAGCCTCGGGTAGGATGTCGACTTTGAGAGCGCGTGTTGTTACATTCTGTTCCCTTTCTTAATGTGTATATTTAATGTAGCGAAGCAATCCATGAGTCAACCGTGCGACAGCTTAACTCACAATGAAGAGTGCATGAATGGAACCAAAATAGCGAAGAGTGAAACCCAAAAGCATATCAGATGTTCTTGTCGCAAACTCGTATTGTACTCATGTACTCGGCCTGAGGACGTCGGACCCCAAAAGCAGGAAGCGATTCACGTAGCAAAAGATTGAAACAAGACGAAACAATCGAGACATAGGTCCTTGCCCTTCTCAATGCATCTCTACACAGCGAGCTTGATCGTCTTGCCCACACTTGGCGTGCCGTTGGCGTCGATTGCGAACAAAAGCCAGTATCCAGGCAACGCAACCCCTGGGTCGCCCGGGATAGCCACCGTATAGCTCGTACCGCTACCCGACATTGTTAATGCGATCCTTCTTTGATCGGTGTTGACGGTATGAGTGGCGGTGCCAAACCTCACCAGCGAGAACTTGGTAACAGCCGCAGTCGTGGTGATGCTCAAGTTCGCGCCGAGTCTGGCAGTAGAGGCTACAGTGCTTATGACAGGACGTGCGCGTCTTGTACCGTCAGCGTTCAGAAGGTAGGGCGGTACGAAGATCTCGGCGTCGAAGTGATTGTTTGCACCGCAAGAACCGCACAAGCCGCCACCGCCGACGAAGACGGTCGCATCCGGCATGAGGATTGCTACGGAGTGGTATGTCCTGGGAATTTGCATGGGGTTCAGCTGTGCCCATCTTCCGGTAGTGGGATCCCACAGCTCCGGAGTCAGCTGCGCCGTGTCGTCGTTGAACGGGTGCAGACGCGATTGTCCACCAGCAACGAAGACTGTTCCGTCGGGAAGCGCGACACCATTCGCGAAACCACGCGGATACGTCATAGACTGGGTTTTGGCGACGGTTGGGTTTGTCTTTGGTGCACCTATCGTGACGACATAGGCACTTGTGCGTCCGTCACTAAAAGACAACGAAGTCAGCATTGCTCCGTGAGTGATGCGAAAGGCGGTTCATACCTGTTTTCGTAGTTTGCAGCACCTCCTGCAGTGAGTATCTTTCCGGCTGTGGCGTCGAACATTACTGCATTGCCACACATGGCGTCCCCGTCATCCAAGCGGTTACCAGCACCCGTGGTACTTCCAGATCCGACAGTATCGTACCAGTTCATGGCGATCGAAGGGCCGGCTTGAAATACCGTCTGGTTCTTCCATCTGTAGTTGGTCAGCAATAAGGTCAATGATTATCAGGCGCTGGACTTACCCAAAGAGCCAAGCATGGTTATCCGAACGATAAACGCCCGCAGTATCAGCTGTAAGCATAGGGCTGACGAGCGCATTCTGTACCAGAGCCCAAGTATTTGCAGTAGCGCTATAAATCTCTCCGTTCTTGCCACCCCTGTTGCCGCTCCATGATCCGCCGATATTGAAGATGCGCCCGTCGGAGCAAGTAGCGGTAGATTGGTACCCCCGAGCAATCCTCATGTCGCTTCCTGGGGTCCAGGCGTCACTAGAAGGGTCATAGATGCTGGTCTTTGCAGCGTCGCTACCCCCCGAAACGATAACACGGCCGTTGAAATCCAGGGAGATACCTGGGCAGAACATGTCGTGTTGTGTATTGGAGACCTGAAGCTGACTCGACTCGCCCGTAGCAGGATCATAAATGCCTGTTTGGGTGAAGCCTCTGGATCCGCCAAAGTTGTCCTTCGCGAAGGCCGACCACATCAGTACCTTTCCGTTCGGGAGTAATGAGACAGCTGCCGGTACAAGTGGGAAATCCACAGTCTTCTCCCACAAGCCTTTGCCTGCCGCTGGCGGAGCGTATGCTGTATCCTGGAAGATGTTGATCTCAGCGACGGTGGTCCATTGGTTGACGGCGCTTTGAGCTTCTGAGGTAGCTGTGATCCTAACATATCGTGCCGGTTTCGCGACGAAGGAAGTCTTCTTGGTCGTCGCATCGTTGTTGTATGTGCCGACAGCGACGACCTTCCAGCTTGAGTTGTCGGTACTAATCTCGATCCTGTGTCCTCCAATCCTGCCATTGGCGTTGTCGCTTGGGCGTGGCTGGAGACTGACGGCGTTGATGTTATAGGATGCTTTCATGTCCACGATGATCCAGTTTGGTAGAGTGTCGGCCGGCGCGGGATCATATTTTGAGTGCCAGAACGATGTCGCATTTCCATCAAGCGCTTTAGAAGGCTCATTACCAGCTTGGAAACTGTCCGACGTTGCGGTCCATCCTGAACGGCTGATAGCGACAGAGGCAGAGTCGACTGAGCCCGCTAGGATGAGTACGGCGATATATATCGCTGATAGACTGGACCTGAAGCTCATTTCGAAGATTGAGAAGTGGAGGCAGCAGCTTTGTTGTTGATATGAGTCTCAATGCAAGGAAAGCTTCGAACTTATAGTTCTTTGATAAGGTTCTGGCGGCATGTCAGCTTACAAGACGCTGACCTCTGTTCCCATCGCCTCTCGACCATAAACATTCATCTCACGCTCGCCAACGCCATGATGCCCGTCTAGCTTAGCTTACAATAGCACTGTCCAAGGTTGATGCGGAAGTCCAGCTCCGCACACGCCCAAGAATAGACATGTGGAAGATATCGCCAATTTACGAGGCTGACGGACTTGACGCATCGCGTACACAGACTGATCTCCGCGTAGATGATGCCATTCATTGACTTTCACCTCAAGACGCTACCTCAGTGATGGGCTCGGATTTGCCCGCTCAAGACCGGTAGTCCGTGTTGGCTGCATGATATATTAGGCTGCATACTAGATGCGCGCTCAGAAGCCTGGAAAGGAACGCCACAGGATGTCACCGGGTACTCGGACATCGTATTGATCATGTGGATGATGATATCGCGAATTGTTACTGCCATGGGAAGAAGCAGGCGCAATGCCCAATATTTGCTGCATGCAGGACCATCTTGGCTAAGCGTTGATGGTGGGGCGGGATTCGGCTCGAATCGCTGACCGGGAACATGCATGAACGCCTCCAATGAACATCTGGACCACTGCGCCCGTGCGCTAGTCGGGCATGGCGTACCCTCGCCTCGCCGGCTCAAATACTGAGGCTGTAGCCGTTCAGTCCGTCTGGTCCATTGAGAATCCATCGAGGAGGCTTTGCATGTAGCCTCTCTGTGTTCATTTCTGTGGATTGATAAGGGCATGCAAGCAGGCTGCCAGACCAAGTGGCTGTTGATCGAGAAGGCTTCGCTTGTAGTCTCTATTCGTCCGATTCTTCGTCGTAGTCTCCACTATCAGTCGTTTCCTCTTCGCTGTCGGGCCATTTTCCCTGAGGTCCAGAATGCGCTAATAACATCGCTGACATATCGCTGTCGGTCTCCTCCTCCATGTCTAGTTGCTCGTAGCGCAAGTCTTTCAAATTGTACCAGTTTCCTTGGGTCTGACAGAAGACATACGTCTCAATTAGGAGATCAAACGACAGCACCACCCAGATCGGCTCTACGTCCTTCGTGAAGGACGATGCAGATGAGCCAACTTCGTCGCGACACGTCAATGTGATCTTCCACAAAGCCGAGGGCAGCTTGGCTTGAAAGCCTAAAGCCGGATCGTCTTGATATCCTGGGGGCTGGAAGCGCTCTACCTGTACCCAGTCTTCTATGTCTGATTGAGGGTACAAGATTTCCAACGTCTCGAGCTTTGGTGGCAAATCTCTCGGCTGGCAGCAGTGTTCCAGCCAACGATCCGTCTCCTCGTTGAAAAAGAACAACTGTGGAATGGTGAGATGCTTGAGGTTGGTGAAGTGTTTAAATGATCTCTTTTGGTTCGTCAACAATCCCAGCAGCCATTCTAAATCGGAGTCGTCATCAGTAATTTCATGCGTGATGGCAAGCCTTTCTAGACTGTCTCGCATGCTATCAAGTTGATCTATGAGATAGCTAGCATCAAGCTGGGTATCTCGGTCGTCTGTGAGATGATAGCTGTCGTTGATACTGCGTGGGCGAATGTTAGCAGAGGCAACATATATGATGCACTAACAAACTCACAGCTGCATTTTGAGACTTCGTAGCCGGCTGCAGTCGAGAGCTTCGAAAAGGTCACTGAGTTGGATTTCCGCCTTCTCAACGAGGGGACGATCTGCAAATTGTATCGAGACACTCAAGGCTAGATCATCAAGGTTCTCGGCGCCCTGCAGACACCCAGGACCGTTGAGACGCAGGATGGTACCAATGGAAATCGTTTTTAGATCGAGGCTTTTGAGATTCTCATAGTGAATGCCGGACTTCAGCAAGTGTGTGTCGCTCGTAGTCAAATGTCGAAGCGTGCTCCAACCGTGAATAATGCTAGCAGGGGCGAACATTCCCCCGAAAAGCCCGGAGATGCACTCGCCTGAAGGTGGACCGCGAGCATGATCTTTCACCCAGACATCAAGGTGTGTGAGGTTGGGAAGCAGTACGAGCAGCAGTCCAGCAAATCCCGACTCTATCGAGTTTCGAATTGTCCGATGCCAAGGATGCGACGCAGTATACCCCATCTGTTCCAGCTTTGCCAAGCTTCGCACGCGTAAAGACGCGAGGTCGAAGTCCTGCTGTTCGCAAAGCTTCGCGACATTCTTGCGAATTGTCCCAACGCGCAGGGTTCTGATCTTTGTAGCAAGGTCTGCGCGGTCCAAGAGAGTACGCAGCAGCTGCAGAAGGGAGCTCACCTTGGGGTGACTCCCACATGACATGGACAGTTTTACTGTGGTGTAAAGGGCATCTTGGGCGACAGAGCGAAATCTGCGGGACGTGAGACTCAGGTCCATGAGGGTCGTGGGTGCAGCTGCGTCGGGAAGATAAGAGGCGACGTGCAGCAGTAACTCTTCCGGCAGCTGGTAGATAGGCGGGTCATCATGAGGCGTCATAATGGACCTCATGCTTAGAGTATTGGGCGGTAGCATAGCAGACTAAGTGATGTTGATGCTTTGCTTGGTGGATTGCGCGGTTTTCGATTTCGCGAACAAGCTCCTCCTCGGTTGACTGTAGCAAAGACCCTGACGGTATCATCCGGTGTTTATCATCCGCCACTCCACGTTGAATGCCCTGGATTCCTCAGGACGGTGCTGTCGGGTAAATGTCAATGATCAAAGCACTGTCGTAACTTGATGCTGAAGTAAGTGTGGCGCTGACGTGCCAGATGGGTGACCGCGATGAACAAGCCCTGGTGAAATTGCGATCGCGGGATGGTGCGACATGATGACGTAATCACTTAGAGATGGCAGGCACACGCACAAAGCTGCGGAACTGCACGCTAAAGAAAGTTAACAACGCTTAATCTAGATTGAACACTACATACGACTCGAAACTCAGACTTTCTTCTGCGCCCTCTTCTCTCTCAACCACATCTTGAGCAGGAACAGCAAGCTCGTCACCACACCCATGCCGCTCAGTCCGACGCTAACGTACATGGCGCCGCGATAACCGTGCAGTTCATCCTCCGCCGTTCTTCCGCCATTGTTCACGTGAACCTCTACTGTCCCTGCGATGCCAACCCCGATACTGATACTGTAGTTCACAATCGTGTTGACCAAACTCGCTGCCATGCCTTGGTGCTTCTTAGCGACAGCATTACTCATGATCAGCGTGCCGGCAGGAAAGCTCATGTCCATGCCCCATGGGATGATGAGCGTGGTAACAAAGGTTTGCGCCCAGTAGATCTGTTTGATCGGGAGTGTAGCGACGAGAATGTTGCCTGTCAAAAAGGCTAGCATGCTGATCAGCATGACCCATCCTGGGCCGATGCGCGAGATGACACGGCCAGTGGTGACCGCAGCGATGAAGCCGGAGATCACAACGGGGCAGAGATGGGCCATTGTGAGAAGCGGGGATTCGCCACGCAGCTGCTGGAGCATTTGGATGAAGTAATAAACCCAAATACCTACAAATGTGGTTAGTTATGCGCTCAAAGGTATCTGGAAAGGCGACTCTTACCAAAAGCAGCCCAGCCGCAGGCTATGCAAGTCAACACGAACGAGACATCCGTGCTGAGAGCATCAAATGGGATGAGAGGCTTCTTGGCGACTTTAATCTCGATCCAAAAGAAAAGCGGAAAGAGAAGAAGGCCGACTATTAGCAGGACGTAGATGTAGGGGTGTCCCCATCCAAAACCAGGCGCTTGGTTCCAGGCGAAGTTGAACAGGATCATGGCGGTAATGCCCACACTTGCGCCGAGTAGGTCAAGCTCACGAACTCGTTCCCTGTGCGAGAGATTGCGAACTTCCGGATCAAGCGGTACTGAGGGGAGGATGAAGATCGACAAAATGGCAAGGCAGAACAGCGCAATACCGAACGTCCAGAATGCCCATGGCCACCACAAGAGCGCCCAGAGACCGGCGAACGCGCCGCCAGCTATACCACCACCTATATGACGTTAGGCAATATCCATAAGACAATGGGCAAATACATACCGGGTGCGCATGCTCCAAATAGCGAGAACACCATATCCTTCCTCTTTCCCTCGTTGTACGTTGCGCCTAGTAGACCAAGCGCATTGGGCAGTAGTATTGCCGGTCCAATACCTCCCAGCACGCGCGAGAAGATGAAAAGCACCTGGCCACCATTACCTTCAATGTATACGCTGCATCCGGCTACTATCATCCAGACGCCAAACCAGATATAGCCGATGATCAACATGTTCTTGTATCCAAAGAGATCTCCGCAACGTCCAGATAACAGGATGAAGGTACCAACTGTCAACGAATAACCCGCTATTAGCCAGGACAGAACGCCGGGGTCGGTGATACCAAGATCGGATCCAATGATGTGCAAGATGTTGAGAGTGCCGAGCAGACCTGCTTGTGTAACGAACTGAGCAGAGCAGAGCAAGCCAACAAAGAAAGCTTCGCGGAGTGGAGACATGGTCTCTGCGATTGACTTCGTCTTTGCGAGTTCCAGGTCCTGCTGCTTGGAAGCTTGCGCAGAGTGGCGAGAGTCGCGGCGGTCCATGTCTTCGTGGGAGTCGCTGTCGTCAAAGTCCTGGTCGGAGTTAGACGAGAGCTTCTCGCCTGTTGGCTCTAATGAGCCTCTTGGTTCTTCCATTCCGAGATGGCTCGACGGCGTGACCGAGGAAAGCGCCTGCTGGAGTATGTCTCCCCGAGACTAAGGTGAATTACTCTTGGTATCGCGAAAGATCGTGTATGGTAACCTGTGCTGAATGAACTACAAATTCTGCGCCTATGTTGTTTTGGCTGTGAGTTCCGAGATGGTACCGCGATGACGACAGTGCTCGTCGATTCTCAACGACGCGTCTCGAGGCGGAGGCAGGCGATGTCTGTGTAAGAATGACTATCGCGATTCGAAGAGCGTGTAGAAGTATGTGTGCAAAAGTGACCACAGCGCGATGCGCGTCCTAGTTCGGCGCCCATCGTGCCTGACATTTTTCTGAGCAATCTTCAACGTTCTTTACGTGAGCGCGGAATTGCGTCTGTCAGGCAAAGAAAAGCGGGTCCGCCGAACTTCGACCGCTGTCAAAGTCAGGATCTGATAACGCGCAAAGACATTTTTCTTCGGGAAAAAGCGGATCTGCATTCACAGCCGAAGATCTAGATTCGGGCAGCGGATTTTTGAGCGCTTGTGATGCTAAGTAAGCCACACAATAAGCATGTGTAACATGACCGCGGAAGACGGCCGTTTGTGACTTTTGCAAAGACCGCTAAAACATTCATCCGCAGGCGTAAATGCGCAGGTTTCGCTGTACCATCTTCACCGCAGTCTGAGTCAAAGGCGCACTCTGTTCTTTTTGTACGATGTTCACGCAAGATCATCGACTATCTACCGCCTCTTATCCTCATAAACCCTAACTCCAAGAACCTTCCAAACAGCCCAACTATGCCCCCCAACCCATATCGGCCCACCCCTCCAAAGCGGCAAAACATCCTCCCTCCCCCTTCTCCTCTTAACAACAGGCTCCTCCCACTCCCCCTGTTGAAACCGCTCAACATCATCCCTCCTAACAGTATGCGTCCTTGCACTAGCCGCCATCGTCCAAAACCCCACCACATGCCCCTGATCGATCTTGTGTTTCAACCAGCCCTTACCCTGATTCTCCTCGGCGCTCTTATTGAGAAGAGATAGCAGCTCGGTGCAGGTATAGTCTGCTTTTCCCTTTGGTAGATCGATGGAGCTTAATTGTGTGCGGTGGGCTGATGCGGGGATCTTATCGACGACGATGGGGGACCAGAGGAAGGGGAAGGGCGCGTACATGAGCCGGAGGGATAGGCTCAGGAGGACTGCGACGGGGAAGTCTAGGCCGATTGATACGCCTGCGCGGAGGGCTGATCCGAAGGTAAGCCGGGGTGGAGATGTGGGCGTTGAGAAGAAGAGGAGATGGCGCTGGAACGCGGAGTATGTGGGACGAGACATGGTCATGGTTTCACGTCTGCTTGGAGAGCTTGCGACGCGTCGAGGTCGTTGAGAATGTGCATATCTGCGAGACAAAAGTACGGTTTCGCCTGTTGAAGTCATGACGTCACGCGCATCCAATGCACCAGTGCATAATGTGATGATGTGGAACAGGCCAGTATCTATGTATTGCTTGCCTGGAGCACATGTAAGTACTACAGATATCATGGTTATCGTATGAGCATAATTGCGATTCTCATATCGTCGCGACTATTATGCTATTGTTTAAAGCATCACCAAACTTCCTACAACCGCAGCAATCATCGCACTGCCCAAAACGCTCGCAGAGAGACCACCGGATGCAGCCGCGGTGTAAGTGGGCATTGGCATGCCCGTGCCAGAAGGTGTACTGCCGTTACTCGATGTGCCGTTACCAGCTAGATCTGGGAACAGATAGCTAGTGTTGGCGTCGACAACGATCCAGTTTCGCACCAGGGCCGTTCCATTCATGACTGACTCCCACTGCTCCGCTGTGCACTGACCGGGGTCAAGAACGTAGCATTGCGTGCCCTCATCGACAATCGGCTCATTGGTGATGTTGTACACGTCACTTGGTCCTTCACTGGCGTAGTCGGGGGTCTCGGTTGTGGAAATGTTGCCGGTGCTGATGTCGCGGTTGAAGAGAGCGCGTGTAAAGATCTTGTACGCAGTTTCAGGTTGGTAGGCTGGTACCTCGTGGCCAGCTTCATATACTCGAGTGAAGGACAGATTGCCGTATTGACGCACTTGGCCACCGATGTAAGTATCGTTCACGACAACAGGTGCGTACCCAGCATCCGCGAATGAAGTGGCGTTGTCGTAGGGGATAGCAAGCGAGAGCAGTTCACCACCGTACCCTAAACGTTGCAAAGTGTCAGTTCATGTCTCAAACGCAGCCTTCTTGGGGCAATACTGACAATTGCAGGCATAGTCTCGGTCACCATACACCAGTGTGACCTTGATACCCTCTTCGAGAAGATACGCTAGATCCTCCTTCCAACCTGGACGTGGATAGTCGCCAATACCTCGGAATGCCCGCGACACGGCCGAGTTCGATTGAGTCCAGTTGAGAGGTACACCAAGTCCCTGCTGTACATGTGGCTGATTCAGCCAGCCTTGATACCATGGTGGCGGGAAAGCAGCTGCACCGGGGGCGGAGATGTCGTAGTAGTTGAGGTCGGTATCGAAGTAAGGATCACGGATCGTTTCGGAACAGAATGTCTCTGCCGCCTCACATACTTCGTTGACGGTCTCGTTGTAGCCTTGGTTAGTAGGATCGTATATAAGGCTGATGTTGCGACATTCTTCAATTTGATCAAGACAGCCTCCCTCCTTGTATAGGTTGTCGAGCACTTCCTCATAGCGCGACTCATTCACAGCCTTGATACCGTACGTGTTGTTGTACTGCATCCTTGGGTAAGCCGGCCATTGGACGTAACGATCAATGCAGCCATTAATGATAAGTAGAGTGTCGAGGTGCAAGAGATGTGTTTGTCCGGCCTCGCTCCACGTCCCGTTCTCAATCTTCTCGTTCTGTTCCTGGAAGTAAGCTGCGAACGCTGGTCCATAACGACCTCCGTAAGATTCAGTCGCAATAGAGATTCTGTCATCATTTGGCTTGTGCTCAGGAAATTCCTGGAACCAGACTTGGGCGAAGTTCCAGAGCGCTCGTGCAGAGTTCTCAGTACCACGTGTGGTGAGGTTGGAGTTTTCGCTAGGGTAGGTGCCGACATAGAAGCTGTTGTTTTGGGGAGGAACAGGGCCGTTGCCGAAGTCTACAACCTCAAGATCGCCGGTGTCTAGATTAGTGGTGATGTTGACCAGGCTGTCATAGCTCATGCCAACCTGAACGGGCTGGTCGAGATAAAGCATGTTGACTGATTCCATTAGCCGTGATACTCAGAAGACCAAATGCTGCACTATAGACTTGCTCACCCTCGTTGTTCCACGACCATTCGTTCAGGTAGGTACTATTGGAATCGGCACCAATGAAGCATGGCCCGTTCTCACGCAAAAGTCCGACAAAGGAACTGGAGCCGGGTCCACCTGATAGTGTCAGTCAACGTCGCAATGCGTTCTTTCCAAGCTGTTTACCGTTCATCCAGATGGAGAGAGGGGCATTGGCAGGATCTTTCCTCGATTCAAAGAACCAAAAGTAGGTGTTGATCTCGTAGGTTTGGTTCTCGACACCGAGATCGGCAAGTGCTCCAGCTGGGAGGTGAACATAGCCGGAGAAGCTTCGGACGCCTTCTGTGGTTTCACAGAGGTCGGTCTGGGGTCATTAGTAGCTGGATCAAGCGCTGTGTGGAGGATGGCCCACCTCCTTGTATGAGATCGTGACACCCTCATCAAGTTGCGATTCAAGAACGGTCACGCCCTCTGGTGTCGGAGGAAACTGGCCATTGATAAGCCCACTCAGAAGCCCAGCTGCTCCAAGAAGCGACAGCCTGAATGCAACCATGATCGCTGCGGTAGGAGGAGATCGAGCTCTTCAATCTGCTGCGGGCAGAGGCTACGGAAGTACCACAAGTGCCAACTTTATACAGAGTCCGTGACATTGGGGTACCTTGACTCGTCTGCCTGGCAACCATGTACAAGCCTGCAAGTGCCTGCATGTCAGACATTGAGCTTCCTGGTTGAGCTATAGCGCATGTATCGCCGCAGCGGCACCGACCTGAGGCACCCAGTTCATGACGTCGAATGGCATTCTAGCGACGTGATACGGGCGGGGACAATGCAGGGCCAAGGCTGCCAAGGAGGCTTTGCGTCACTTGTTTATTCGGTAATGTCTTAGTTGGTCGGCTACCGGTTGCGGAGGAGAGTTGGATCTTTGCTGCGAAGCGTATGTGGAAGGTGACGAGGGTTGCCGGCGATAAGAAGCCAATGTTCCGGGAATGGCGGGGGATCTTTCCTCGGCTGTGTTCCGCGCTCCTCCAGCTGGTCGAGCCTTTCGCACGCGGCGAAGACGATGATAGCCAAGCCCTCGTCGACGTACAAGCAACTCAAGCAAGAAACGGCGGACGACTGCCAATGCCACTAACCATACCGGTAGTCAGCGTCTGATTGGAGTCGTTGCCCAGATGATTCACGCCAATCAGGTCGAAGTTGAGAGACGGGAGACGTGGGATGTCTTTTCCATTTGGTTATCCAAAATACTGATATACAGGGGATGTGGTTGTAACTCGGTGGCCTTAAGCTGCACGTATATGACCAATAATCAATAACAATCCTGGAGACAAGCCTCATGCGAGTAAACTCTGCGCCACGAAACGCCAATCGCAACTGTTTCCCAAAAGCAGCCTCTCTGGTAGGCGCACGAATTCCGGATCGCAACGATACGCCCTATCTCCTCCAAACTCGGTACCAACAGAAGTGAAGATTGGGTATCTGTCAAAACAACCTCGCCAACTCAGACCGGCGCACCCCAAGCTGCTCGCAGACGACGCGCGAGTTGGATGTCCTTTTGCTGTATGGTGACGCGCTTGGCGTGGATGGCGCAGAGGTTGGCGTCGTGGAAGAGGTTGACGAGGAAGGCTTCGGTGGCTTCTTGGAGGGCGACGATGGCTTGACTCTGCCATCTGTTGGGGCCGTCTTCGGTTGTGACTGTTTGCGCGATCTCGCGGACCTGGAGGCATGTGAGCTGACTGTCAAAAGGGTGTATGGGTGTGGGTCCCTACCAGGCGCTGGAATGGGAGCTTTAGGAGCAGCAGGTCGGTCGACTTCTGGTAGCGCTTGATCTCACGGAGAGCGACGGTGCCGGGCTTGTAGCGCTTCTTTGCGCGATCAGGAGCGGGCCCTGCCTGTCCAACTGCGCGCATGTCAGCTGGGATGCGCAGACTCAACTATTCGGCGCACAACGTACGTCTCTTGCCCGACTCCTTCCTGCCTCCGACACTCGCTCGGCCACCTCGCGACGGTCGCGCCTTGTTCTTTCTGGTGGGAGATTTGGGAGACATGTTGGTTTTGGTGTGTAAGGATATCGCGCGATGTGTCGGGGTCCAGGTGGATCAATTGGAGCGTGGGATTGGCGACGAGGGAGGGATCACGGCGCGTGCACGGCGCGAAAAGTCGCGAAGCTCAAGCGCGTCAAGATCAACAAGACGAACGGTCGGCACGTCGTCGTCGGGTATATCGATGAGATGGCGTACGAGGGTCGCGGTGGTGAATGGAGCACGGGCGCATCGTCCTTCGCGATCTTGACCGTCTGCCGACGCGACTGACACGAGGGGCTGGTGCTGTGGCTGGTTCGCATTCACCCAGGGCAGGAGCTTGGACCCCAACTCCCGGCGGGCGGAAGGTGCGATCGCGTGCTGTTAGTCCTAGCGCCTTGGCGGGCCATCGGACAAGTTACGTAGCCACATGGGCTCCATCGTTCACACGCCCGGAAAGCGGCTGCGTTTGCTGAGCGACACTTGGCCTTTCGCTGCTTACTTAGGTATCTGAGTGCAGGCGCTGCAACTTGCCCCTTCTCACATTCTTCATCCTGTGTTATCCCTAGAGCGCTCAACCCACCATGGCGAATGTTCTGCAAGGCGGGGACGGCATGATGGGAGGGGCCGGAGGCTTTCCGCTCGAGCAGTGGTTCTACGAAATGCCCGTGTGCACGCGCTGGTGGATGACGGCGGCGCTGAGTGCCAGTGTGCTGGTGCAGTGCCATATCATCTCGCCCTTCCAGCTCTTCTACAGCGTGCGCACCGTCTTCTTCAAGAGCCAGGTACTACCACCACCATTACTACTGCATCTATTCCAGCCCGTACTGACCTGCATAGTACTGGCGACTGCTCACCACCTTCTTCTACTTCGGCCCACTCAGCCTCGACCTCCTCTACCACATCTTCTTCCTCCAGCGATACGCGCGCCTGCTCGAGGAATCGTCCGGTCGCTCCACGGCACACTTCGCATGGCTCCTCACATTCGCTTCGACGCTGCTCCTCTGCATCGCGCCCATGTTCTCCATGGCCTTTCTCGGCTCGGCTCTGTCCAGCACCCTCATCTACATCTGGAGCAGGAAGAACCCGGACACCATGCTCAGCTTCCTTGGCCTGCTGGTCTTCAAGGCGCCCTACCTGCCCTGGGTGCTCTTGGCCTTTTCGCTCATCATGCATGGGACGGTGCCCAAAGATGAGATGTGCGGCATCGTCGTCGGCCACAGTACGTCTGCGCTCCCAGCTCTTCTTGACAACAACTAACCCACCTTAGTCTGGTACTATTTCAACGACATTTACCCGCCGCTGCACAACAACCACAGCCCTCTCGATCCTCCCGCGTGGTGGCTCCGCCTGATCGAAGGGCCGCCTGCTCCGGCAGAAGAGACTGCCGAGGACGAGGCGCCGAACAATATGGACGCAGGCGGCGAGGACAATGCCGCAGAGGCGGAGCGATAAACGCAATCGTGACAACGTGCATTTACATCTGGCGTTTGGCGAAGACTCACGGATTTGAGATACCCTAGCTGTCTTTGGAGCATTGTTAGCTGCATTGGTTTTGTAGGTACATACATTAGACACCCACCCGTACAACGTGCTACCCTGCCCACGGGATCTTCAGATGTTCATCTCCGGCTGTGTTTTATGGTTATCCAATCAAGACGGACAACGTGCTCTCTGACAGAGGCTCAAGTTGAGGTCGGCTACTCAGCTCCTGCCTATCGTGGCGTAGCACCTTCCTTTCTGGGCTAGCATCCCTATGGACCTGCATATCGTCGCTCACGCTCTACAGGGTCTCGATCAAGCATCGTGGCGACGAAACGGCCATGGCCGATACCGCCAGAACTATTGGTCGACATCGGTGCCGTTCCCAGCTGCTTATAACATCGCATGTCCTCTCCGTGAGCATAACAACAAGCTCCTTTTCTGCTTCACTTCGACCAGCCCGATAACTTCAACGTCCAAGATGGCACCATCGAAGTCGCTTCTACCTCTCCTTGCGGCAGTTCCCTATGCCTCCGCGTGGGGTTCCCTCGGCCACACCGCAGTGGCATACATGGCACAGAACCTCGTCTCCCACAAGACGGCCAAGTTTGCGCAGACCCTCTTGAACGACACCTCATCCGCATATCTCGCCAATGTGGCTACCTGGGCTGATAGCTTCCGCTCTGAACCGGAGGGGAAGTTCAGTTCAGTGCTCCACTACATCGATGCGCTCGACAACCCGCCTGAGAGCTGCAATATCGACTACGAGCGCGACTGTCCTGAGGAGGGTTGCATCGTTTCCGCCATCGCCAACTACTCCAGCCGCGCTTTCCAGAAATCGGTCGGCATCGTCGAACAGCAAAGAGCCCTGAAATGGATCATCCACTTCGTCGGCGATGTCCATCAGCCACTCCACGTAGAGAACATCGCCGTAGGTGGTAACCTCATCAACGTCACTTTCAATGGCGCGCGAACGAACCTGCACTCCATCTGGGACACAGCAATCCCGCAAAAGGCCTATGGCAACTTCTCACAAGCCAATGCATTGGCTCTGGCCAACAACCTTACCGCAGAAGTGAAGCATGGCAAGTTCAAGAAGGAGAGCAAGACGTGGCTCAAGGGACTGAAGGCGAAGGATGCAGTCAGCAGCTCCATGACTTGGGCGCGTGACGCCAACAAGTTTGTCTGCTCCACTGTCATTCCCAACGGCCCTGATGCAGTGTTTGCGCAAGAGCTGTCAGGAGCTTACTGGGACACTGCTATTCCTGTCGTTACAAAGCAACTTGCAAAGGCGGGATACAGACTTGCCGCTTGGCTGGATGCTCTCGTCGAACTCAACGAGAAGAAGGGTCATGGAAAGTGGGAACGGGAGACGAAGCGGGCGGTCACCCTGCAGCCATGGCAGGAGGAAGCGAGACAGGCTCGACGCGAATTTGGGCCTGACTGTGGTTGCGGCGAGGACCACGCGCACTAGAGAGAAATGTGAGATGCTTTAGATGGACTTGTACAGTGGAAGGATGTAGACTATGAAGAGTGGACGACGAGACGAGATGATGAGATGATGAGTACGAGATCAATCGGTTAGACAGTGAAAGCTCATACAAGAATAAAACTGAACAGGTCTAGAGCCTACATCGCCGCCAGGTCACCTATCTTGTGTGCTTCCATTTTGATGTAGGCTGTAGGCCTGTTCAGTTTTTTTCTTGGTTGACATGGTGATTACCACCGCATTGATCATGTTGCAGGAGCGAGCGGTCGACATTGCAGACAGTCAAATACAGCAGTGTTGAAGACATCTCGCAGAATACAAGACGTTGCAGTGCGACGCCGAAGTTGCAAGTGGTAGAATGTGCGATATCGAAGTATGCTCATTTAAGTACAAAAAAAGGACATTTACACAGCTTTCAAGCACTCATCGATGATAGCAGACACCTGCAGGCATTCTTCATCGCGCATCTTGTTCGTGAAGACCTGGATGGCAGTTGGTGCACCATCCACGAGCTTGGGATTATCTGCATTGAATACATTAGCTTGCGTCTCAAACGCGTACAAAGAGTCAAGACGGCGACTTACAACTCGGGCCTACTTGGCCAGGGCCCATGACAAAGGGCTCAGCATCCAGAGCGCTTGAGGCTTTACCAAAGGGAAGTACGCATGCGGGATACTGTCTTGACGTTAACAATGCTCTCTACAGCCACTTCGAGATGGGTAAGCATGACTTACATCCAATACGTTCAACAGTAGCGTATACGGCGGTAACCCGTATGTATCGTGCGCGACCGCAGTGTGCTGTGCAGCCGGACCGATTACTCCGTCCAATTTCTGCTCCTTCCAAATCTTCCTCCACTCATCTTGGATAACATCCCGCTTGACATTGAGCGCAGCTAATTTCTTGATGCCCTCCAGGCCCTTGCAGTCGTCCAGGAAGTCACACTTGAAGGAATGGAAAACCTCCATGGACTGGATAACTGAAGGAACAACAGGCTCACCGCTAGCGGCTACATGCGTCGGGGGAGTGTCGTCGAGCATAAAGAAGGCGAACGCGAGGGCTAGCGCATTGGCGACCTGAGCGCGCGCCGGCGCGATAGGAACCACCTCGTGGCCCTTTGCTTCGAGCGCGCTGACAGCTTGTGCTAGCGCTCTTTTAACCGGCGGATGCAAGGGGAAGGCTGAGTCCTCGGCCAGAAGACCCAGTCTTAGCTTCGGCGCGCTCGGTGGTACTTCTAGGCTTCTCCAAGGAACGTCGAGAGCAGAGGCGTCGTACAAGGCTGGTCTCACTGATAGGAGTGACCGACACAGAATGCCTAGAGCTTGTATGTCGTTTGCGAGGGGACCAGCGGACGGGTTGAAGAAGTTGTTGCCAGCGGATACGGGCGATATTTGTCCGCCATCTGGAATGCGCGCTGTAGAGGGCTTGAAGCCGTAGGTGCCACAGCAAAGAGCGGGTATGCGGATTGATCCTAGTGTAGATCAGCAAGTCTGATCACTACAACTTCGACGACATGTACTGACCTGCAATGTCTGTTCCAACACCGAGTGGAGATCCTCGAAATCCAACAAGGGCACCTTCGCCTCCGCTCGACCCTCCCGCAGTGAGGGCAGTGTTGTGAGGGTTCAAAGTACGCCCGAAAATGTTGTTCTGTGAGTCAGCCGTCTGTATCCCATTAGTTCATGAGCCTTCTTGATGTCGAGATGGGACAGTGAACTTGCCATCATGGTCTGAGGGATATTGGTCTTGACATATACGACTGCGCCTAGCTCGAGCAAGATATCCACAAGCGGGGAGTTCTCCTTCGACGCCGCATGGTCCAGGAACGAAACGAACCCAATAGTGGCCGCTGAGCCAGCGACCTGGAAAGCGTCCTTGATACTGATGGGTAAACCGTGGAGAGGGCCTACGATACGGCCGCTTGCTCTTTCACTGTCGAGGAAGCGTGCTCGCTCCTGTGCTTCAGGGAAGTATGTCTCTGTAAGGCAAGACAGCTACAACGCTACTTTAGTGGCTTGCCCTTCATTGTAAGTGAGATGGAACTGACCAGCTGCTGTGCCATAGCTGCTCTCTTCGAGAACGCTATGGTAACCTCCAGTGACGACAAAGTACCATCCTTTAGCTGCTTCAACAGCTCTTCAACGGTATACTTCTCAGTAATCTCAAGTTCCTTCTCATCCAACAGTCCCGACTTTCGTGCAATGCCCATCTTCATCAAGCGATTTGGATGTTCCGAAAGCGGCATTTGAAGCATGTCCGTGACTGATGTTGAAAGAAGCCATTCTTTTGGTATCTTCTCGCGACTCGACTGCTGCTTCGCAGCAACTTTACTTTCCCATGAAGCGGAAGCCATATTTGATGAACAAAGGGAATTGCAAAGTCTCGGAAAGATTCGAGTTGAAGAGATACGGGCTGGACGCGTAATATTGGTAATGACAAGCATCCGGGGATGCTAAGATATGTATATCATTGGAATACTCAGATGCCGTAGTATCTATCCGTAGCTGAATAATGCGGGGTCCAGATCTCGTCCGCATGATCGCGAGACAAAGTGTTGATATCTGGCCGTGTCGGAGCAACATTTCGTTTCGTGTCTGAGCGGCAGGCGTTAGCGCGACACTACCCCACAGCCGCCAGCGCCAAGCCGGTGGGTTATTTAATTCGCAATTCGCCCAATTCGCCCCGTTCGCCTGCGGAAACACGCAATCCGGGGTTCGAGATAGGGATGCGCAGATAACGTACAGAACACAGCTGACACTGCCTCAGCGGTCGCTGTGGTATATATACGCACGAAAGCTCTGGGTAACAGTGGGGAAGCTTTCCACGCAACAAGCTCCATGCCTGTGATAGACAACCTCTTCAACGCGATTATTTTTGTTTCGTACCCTCCTGAGAGCGATGGCCGACAGCAATGGCTCCAGACCGGATGATGGCACCTTTTGGGCTCCGGGAACGCTACGACTAGAGGATTGTAAGACTCGCATTTGCCGCTGTAAAGACCGCACACTGACTGTCCCGCTGTAGTGACGGGACCCGCAACGGACGTCATCCTCCACCCAGTGCCTAGCACCGAACCAGATGACCCCTTGAACTGGAGCAAATTGCGCAAGACCATCAACTTCGGCTTGACCGGCTTCTTTGTCCTTTGGACATTTGTACAGCTCCAGAGCGGCACGACATCATGGGGTCAAATTGCGCCTGAACTGGGCTTCAGCAACGATCAGCTGAATAATGGAGGCGCTATGAGCTGTGCTGGGCTTGCAGTCGGCTGCATGCTCTTCATGCCGTTCGTACACAAGTACGGACGACGACCTCTGTACCTGCTCAGCTCTGCGCTCCAGTTGAGTGGAGTGTTGTGGCAGACCCAGATGGCTGACTATGGTGACTATTTGGGCAGCAACTTCCTTGCTGGACTGGGCGGTGCTATCAGCGAGGCCGTCATCCAGATCACCATTGCCGATTTGTTCTTCGTCCATCAACATGGAACGATGAACGCATGGTACCTCGTCTTCACGTCCGTGGGTGCCTCCCTCGGCCCGGTAGCCGCCGGCTTCGTTGTGGAGTCGCAGGGCTGGAGATGGATCTGGTGGTGGTGCACAATCTTCCTCGGTCTAAACTTCGTCCTCGTCATGTTCTTTTTCGAAGAGTCCAAGTACGTCCCTTTTCTCAATGGTCAGAGTGTGCCACATACGGCTGGCACTTCTGGCTCGGATGGACTCGAGGACGGCCGTCCCGACTCAGGGCTGCAAAAGGCCACAGACGGCAAAGGCGACGCAAAGCACACCGCCATGGAGCGCATACAATCCCGAATTGACACCTCCTTACCACGAAAAACTTATCGTCAGCGCATGGCCATCGTCACCCCTTCCAATCAACGCATCGGCCACCACTTCTACCAGCCAATCGTTGTCTTGTTCACGTTCCCTGCCGTGGCCTTTGCTGCACTCACTTATGGGACCCTACTGGCGTGCATGGCATTGATGAGCTCATTACAGGCCGTCTACCTGTTGCAACCACCATACAACTTTGGAGCTTCTGGCGTTGGACTCATGAACATTGCTCCGTTCGTTGGCACGTTCTTTGGATTCTTCGCGGGTGGTTTCCTGAACGACAGATCGATCATGTACTTCGCCAGGCGGAATGGAGGCATTTACGAACCAGAGATGCGCCTGTGGATCACTCTTATCTCAGCAATCCTGCTCCCGGGCGGTATCCTGATGTTTGGGCTAGCCTTAGCCAGGGTATGTTGGTAACACCTGGCTGTAATGATGGTTCACTAATAGCTTCTTCAGGGTCTGCACTGGATGATATTGGCCGTAGGATTCGGGCTGTTCGGTTTTACATTTGTCCTAGCTAGTGGTGTCGCGCTATCATACGTGACAGATTGCTATCAAGAGGTGAGTCGACAGCTCCCAGTCTATTCGAAGCGGAGTTCCCACTGACATGACAACCTTCAGATCCTCGGAGATGCTATGATAGGCATCGTCTTTGTCCGGAACCTATTCGCCGTGGTCATCCTCTTCGCACTCACGCCGTGGACGAACAATATGGGTATACAGAACGTCTCCATCATCACGGCGGCTGTATGCTTTGCGATCTTGCTAATCCCCATCCCCTTGCTATTGTGGGGCAAGAAGATCAGGGTTGCGACGGCGACGAAATACAAGCGCATGGCAATGCGACAGCCAGCCCATAGAACACTTGAGTAGTGTGCATGATGGGTATCGCATCGCTACGCTGTTCCTGGAAGAAGTGGAGCGGTCGGAGTGCTTGTTCCCGTGCAAACGACTTCGTATAGTCGTCCCATCTCACCCAGATGCTTCCAACTAAAGACTTTCGTTCTTTGAGCTGTGTATCGTTCATAGTCGATAGTGTCATTGAGGAAGCCATGAAACGATCTCGCTCCAATGTATTTGAGCCGTACTATCTTTGATGACCCAGAATGCCATGAGTTGCTTCTTGACCTTTGTTCGCAATTCTTTCGAAAACTCAATGACGACGTCGATCTTGTCGAGCGCCATTTCGCGCTGAGCAGAATCGACCAGCTCGAAGCAAGCAAATACATATGGGATAATGGCGCCTGGAACCGAGCGCTTGGTGATTTGGAGTATCATCCGCAGCTCTTCGAAGATAGCATTTGAAATGACAGTGCCTCTCGCTGACGCCGTGCCATATGGATGTCGCAGTCGATGTACAATAAGCAGCACCGACCAGCGATATAGTTTGGCTTGAGACATGATGCTAGCCACCTCTTCCTGTAAAAAACGGCTGATTTGCTCAACGGGCAGGATTGGCGTCCAGGCCTCGACGGCGACTTCGATGTCGTTCAGGGCTTGCGCAATCTCGGATAGATCGAGGTTAGGATTCTGGCGTAGCGAGTCCGTGATCTTGCAAACATCGTATAGGTACGGTAGCATAGGCCAGGCAATTCCCATATATCGATCAACAGTGTTATCGTCCTCGTGGACCTCGAGCCGCAGGGTTGGAGCCTCGCCCCGTATGATGCACTCTTCAGTCTCCGCTTGAATGAGGCAGATGACGAAAGCCTGACAGTCCGGACCGAGCTCCACTGTCGATTCGTACATGGGCTTGATAATGTCGAGAGTGTGTCGACAGATCTCCAATGAGCTCCCGGATATGTGCAGGGCAAATGTGATGGCGCTCACTGCAAGCATCAACACAGTCTGAACGTCTCCAGGGTCAACGGCTTTGACAGATCGCAATGTGGAAACGGCAGCGGCAGCCCGCCTGTGGCCAATGACTCGGTTCTCATGGTTCGGGCCAGGCTCGTACTCGCAAGCTAGGAGGGCTGCGGTGGCTATCAATGAATCTTGCACCCACGACGTTGCGTTGTGGAGTTGACGCGCGAAGGCTTTGTGGTGGCAGATGCGGAAGCTTGGCGCGATGAGGAACTGGTCGATGCGCGTTTGGCCTTGGGATACGCCCTTGACGAGGTGCATCTCCCGCTCACTCAGATCTGCGAACGGGGATGGAGCCCTGGGCAGCGCGACTATGTCCCAATCCGGCATCGCTGGGCTCGCGGCCGAGGCTGGGCATCTGGGTGACGAAGAAGCAACAGAAAGGCTGTCGCTCCGAGCCGTCTGTAGCGGGCTGCGTGTCGTACCCTCGGTGCGCTGATACCGAGGTTTGCGGCCAGCAGTGCCAACTGGTCGTAGGGTCTGGCATGAGTTGCGGAGGCGTTGGCATCGCTCGCAGGCATCCTGGCCGGGGACGCGCCTGCATCTCTCTTTCACGGCATGGCACCTGTCGCATGCTCGTCTTGCTGGCGGTCTGGCCATCGCGGACGCTCTCCGGTGGGTCGCAGTGGATACATGCTCAGTGAAGGGTGGTGTCTGGAGAGCAGGCAAGGTAGCTGAAACACCGGCGGGTGCTGAGTAACGAAACACGTGCCGTCCGGCAATCCCCGCGTCGCTGGCTTCGATCAACCGAGAAAGACATCGACCTGGGATCTTGTTGTATACACTGAGATATACATTTGTGAGTTGATGATACGATCATGATGCAATCGTTTATTGTGCTCGCTTTTGTCGCGTGTCGAGTCTCGGTAAGTTAGTGAGAGATTCATGGAAGGAACGCCCCGCAGACTGGAGCTTCATGGGCGTTCACGGAAAGCACGCGTCTCTATGACGCGGCTGCCATGGAGGGAAAGCACGACAGTCATCAACATCGCGACTGGGTAAAACCTCCAAGGTTTGCGAGGCCCAATATCGACGTTCTGCTCATCCGCCATCCCTCATCACTCATCCACCATCACTCATCCTCATCTCATCTCTCATCTCATTCCTCATTCTCGTTCTTCCTCTCTTATCTCTCATCAATACCCCGCAACAGAAGAAACAACAGAAGAAACCGAAACCATCTGCAGCGGTGTTGGAGACAAGGCTTCAGACTGCATACACTAGCTTCACTGCACGAGCCCCGGCAACTCTGAAGCCAATCGAAGTACCTATCGACATCGGTTCCCTGGCAGAATGGGTGACTCTGCTCAACACGCCGACTGAGTTTGGGCTCCCGCTAAGTTCGCGGAGGACCGAACAGACCCGGGCCAAATTCGACACCGCCATGGACCTCACCAACTGGGGTGTCGCATACCTTGAGAACGTTATGCCTGCACTAGTCAAGGCAAACATGGCGATGAAAGAAAGGCTCAAATCACCTGCTAGCGAATTCATGATGACCAATAGCTCTCCACCGCCTCTTAGTCAGTATACAGCAGATGATGGCCCGCTCCCGTGCACGTCGTCGCTTCACTTCAACGACTGCAGCGGCACAGCAGATGATTTCGCCTCTGCCCCTGACAGAACGACTAGCGAGACCGCGATGTCTCTTGTCAAGCCATTGGAGGATCTGACCGATGAGATACTATCAGCGCTCTGCCTCTGTCTCCAGAGGAAGCAATGTGGATGCTGGGCGCGGGTGATTCAAGCCAACTTGGCGAGTACGAAGAGTAGGTGGTGCAATTATACAACGATACAGCTGCTTACTGTAGACAGCGGCCTCATGATCGAACCGCGCGATGAGCAATATCTGCCGTCGCCTGAAGACTGGATGTGTACACCAGACGGAGACCTGGCGCACGGCATCGTAGACGAGCAAGCCGACGACAACCCAGCCTTCCAATAGCCTACCGAAGCGTCGGAGGAAGCCATGACACCCCGGACCCCTCGCCTTCGGCTGGTGATGCCAAACAAGCCGGCCCTCAAGCCACGAGAGTTTGGTGAGACAGACCTACCAGGAGTTCTATGCATTCCGCCGAGCGATGACTTTAATAACCACCACGGTTGTGTCGACTTCGACAGCATTTTGGACATCGGTGGAAGCTGTTCTTGGAACAAGGGATGATTTTGACCGGGGCATGTTGATGTCGGAAAAGACCGCAGAGACGATTACAAGGGCGACGAAAACCGTGCCGCTCGATACGCCGGGCACGCGGAGGTGACGATAGGCCACAGTAAGCCGGAATCCAGGCATCTGGTCGATCCATCCGTGCGTCAGAAGCAAGAGCAAACGCTAAAACGTCTCGTTTGCGTTATCCAAATTCTTTGTACACCGCGAACAAGTGCCTCCAGATCTTCGAAGGCATTATATTTATCGGGAGGTAGAGCGGGCTTACTTCCTCTGTAGCAGTCGCGATCTAGACAGAACTGCGGAGCCACATTAATGTCACTGATCAATCGAGCCTTGCAGACCACAAATGAATTGGCACTCACACAAACACGATGCATATGACACGTTGGAGAATGTGCTCAAATCACGAGTCGTGTTTGAGCGCATAAACTTCATCCTACATGTATACATCGTCTTTGGTCTATGCCCCGTATCTCACTAGCCGCATACGTAACCTTCTCTGTTTGTGTTTGGGGGCACTACTCATCTCCATGCGTCCAATTTTCTCAATGCGGAAAGAGCAAAGCCCGGATCATTCCGAGCTTCTCTTACCTGTTGTGAGAGATCTCGAGCCGCACGGCTTTGTCGATGGCTTCAACGATACGTGTCAATAGAACCTTTGAAGTCTGTATCGTACAACTCTGGTCCCACAACCGACTGGTCATGCAGCTTCAGAGGTGACGGACAGTAACGGTAGGCTGCAAAGCCGTCACCGAGGAATTATGCGTTGGTTTGCGACGTAAAGGCTCGAGGTGAGAGGGATTTAAGTCGACATTGACGTCACCTAGTACAGCCGCTCCGTCACCGCGCCTTGCGATCTCTGCTCTCACCTCTGTTTATATAAGCTAGGCTGCTGCCCAGGTGATAAAGGTCAACGCTGGTTCTGCACCATATCTCTTCACATCTCCACCACCGCGCTCTACAAGATAATGGTGGATCCCAGCGCTCTCCCAGTCGCGCCTACACAGAAAGTCGACAGCGAGATGACTGCTGCTTCCAACAACCCCAGCGATGCGGCCTCTCGCGACAACTCCAGGAACAGACCCACCGGCGGTAACACCGTTAACCCTACATTTCCCCGCGATGACCCCAACGTGGCTGGCAACACCAGCGCCGACGATGACTCTACTTTCCAAAAGAGAGAAGCCGTGACCAAAGCTTGGGAACAGTGGACCCGCACCATCAAGCCAATCGATGACAAGCTCAAGGACTGGAATGACACAATCACCGACAGTCAGTTCGTCGACAGTGTCATAGCTGAGCTCGAGCGCGCTTCGTCCTCTACAGCTGCAAAGCTCATTGGTGGTCTCAAGGCCGAGAATGACCTTCTCAAGAGCTCAAACCAGACACTGACCACCCTCGCCCGACACGTCGGAGAGGACTTGGCTGGACAGACGACCTCTTCGGCTGGTGTGTACCAAGCACCGGGTCTTCAATACCCTATGCGTCCACAGACCCTGCTTCGATGGTTTCAGCGTTTCGCTGATGCAGGATGGGCCGTACCCGCAGGTCTTCCAATGACCAAGCACAGGTTCGTTGACGAACGTTACGGCTGCCTTGAGGATTGGCATGGCGCCAATACCGTCTGCATATGCGATGACTCTTCCGGTCTCCTCATCCACAAGGGCTTTCGCGATTTCCTGGACCAGCAGCGAGGGTGTGTTCACGAGGCACCATATGCACTGGCGATGTGGCTCTACCTTTCTCGATACAACATCTTCTGGCCCAAGCAGACTGTGTCTTCATGGTTCTTCGAACAAGCATCGCGAATCGACTCAGGTCACCAATTGGATCTTGCCAATATGGACGATGACCAACACATGAAGGCTTGGCTAGACGCCACTGCTACCAAGCTGCCTAGTATCTGGGCCCAGGTCCTGAAACTCCAGGAAGAAGATGACCGCACGATCTCTAACAAGCTATGGGCCCCGGTCGCGAAGTTCGTGAAGGACCACGAGCACGACATGCTCGAGCCTTTGTGCGATGTCTACAACCAACTCGGCGACGACGAATTCGATCTCAACGAAGCAGAGCCCCGGATGACCCAAACTGCGCATGATGTATTTCTTCTTCGCCTCGCTCAGGGTGAGGCCCCAGCCACCGTTCTGTCTAATGACCAAGAGATGCATTCGTTCAATCACCTTCGCGTAGCCGCTCTCAAGGAGGTGCCTACTGGACCTGATCGCTATACCCGCGCTTTGGGGAAGATGATGACCTTCGATTTGCGAGTACAGTGGATGAAGCACAAACCATCACCGGAGTCCAGCCAATCCTCCATCAACATCCTCGATGGTGCCAACGCGGACGAACCGATGGTTATCGATGACGACTAGTCAGGACGACATGACTAGCGGCGTAAGCGGCAGGCTTGGGAAGTGAGGGACTGATGACTAGGTACGACGGAAGACAACCAAGGAGGATACTATGGGATGGAATTTGGCGATGACTAAGGGGTATACACATGGCGCCGGCATCGGCTGGTTGCAGGGAATTCAAGGATGACTGTCTCCGATGAAGACTGTGGATACCAAATGACACTGATGAAAGTTAACATTGGCCCCAAGTGCATGGTGAATCAGTGAAGACCTGATGGTGTGCTCGTGAGAATATTCATCTCTTTCCCAACGCCCATGCAGATGTGACACTTTCTTGATCCTGAGAAGTGACTGCCATGAAGTTCATTAAAGGATACATCAATGCGCTATCCCCAAAAAAGACCTCGCCTTCTGATCAGACATCGACCTCGCATCACTCTCAATCGTAACCGTAACCGTATTCGTCGTCAAAATCTGATCCTCCTCATATACCGTCCCCCGTCGACTCCTCCCCACCTCTTCATCCTCCAAAATCCCCCTTTGGCTCCAATCATCTCCCTGATCCTCGATCACCGTCCAGCGCCCTTCCTTGCCTTTGCCCATCGCATGTACAGTCGTGGTTGTTGTAGAGTGTTGGCTTTGGTTCAATCGAGACAGCGGGACGCTTTGGTTGGTCTTGGTGTGCGAACGCGAGTAGGAGGATATTGTTTCCTTGAAGAAGACGCGGAGGACGGGGATGGAAGCGGCGATGATGGCGGTTGCGGTTTCGACGCCGGTCCAGATGGTGAGCTCTTTGCCGTTGTAGG